CCTGTATCTTTTCATCCTCAATCTACCCATCCATCCTTGTTTAGAACCTATCACTACGTGGGTGGCAGCTGAGGAATGGGAACCTAGGTCTTACTTGCCAGTTGATCCACGAGGGAAGATGCAAGTAGGAGTCAAGAAAAAGGGGGAAGCTCATACTATCTTTTTTAGAGTGTTAGTAATAACCTGGGAAAGATACTAAGCATACTCTGTGGTCCACCTACGAACAAACAACATAAAACAAATATACCTGTGTATAGACAGAGAACCTTAAGAACCACCCCACCCACCAAGGTTACTGTTTGAAACAAAGTTAGAATTAGCCCTTTTCAGACCAATGACTGCCAAATACACTGTAGAATCAATCGCTCACTGGCTGTTCTGGTGTTACAGAAAACTGTGCAAGACAGAAAACCCTGTAATGAAGAAAGCCAGAGCAGAGCTGGGGTGCAGGGAGGGGAGGGGGGAGGGGTAAGAGGTTGGGGTTGGGGTAGGAAACTAACTCTGACTAAGCCTTCAGCTGGAGAAGGGCAGTTTCTGCAAACTGATTTTGCATAATGCAACTGTGAACTCATTACTAGTGTGGTCTTTTTAGCAGGTTTGTTACAACTTCTATCTACAAACAGAAAGCACTCTTGGAACCACACATTATTTAGTTTCAAACCTGTGACAAAAGGCTGAAGTGCCTATTTAACGTATCAAAGCAGACCTGGCGGCCAGGCTCTTCCAGCATCTCTTAGCCCCTACCTGTTACAGGGTATGGCTGACACACCCCACCTCTGCCTAAACTCTCCAGCCCAGAGGCTGGGGCGCCCTTTCCCCAGAGGCTCTTCCCTATATAATCCAGACATTTTGGCTACCCTCCCCTCTTATACCTTTGGCCTCCTGCTGCTGCACCTAGCTCCCCTCTCTCCCTTCCCCTTTTCCTCTCCCACATGACCCAGCTCAGCCTGGTCATGTCTACTCTGGACTCTCCCAGATGTCCCTGCTTCTATCTACACGCCCCTTTTATCTATAATAAGCTAGCCCCTCCACTATACCTAGGGGCAGACATCAACGCTTCTTTCTTTCTTTCTTTTCTTTCTTTCTTTCTTTTTTGTTTTGTTTTGTTTTTCTGAGACAGGGTTTCTCTGTATTGTTGTGGAGGCTGTCCTGGAACTTGCTCTATAGACCAGGCTGGCCTCAAACTCCCAGAGATCTGCCAGCCTCTGCCTCCCGAGTGCTGGGATTAAAGGCGCGCACCACCAAAGCCTGGCTTTGAGGAAGCTTTTTAAGTGTTAAGTGTGTGCGTGTGCGTGCGCTAATGTCCTGGGAGGTCAGAAGAGGGAATCAGATCCCTTGGAACTGGACTCCTGGGTGGTTGAGAGCCACCTGGGTGTGTTGAGAACCAAGCTCAGGCCCCTTCAAGAGCAGCCAAGTGCTCTTAACCACTGAGCCATCTCTCCAGTCCCCTCACTGAGGAAGCTTTTACTTTGTTTTACTGGCATCCAGGCTGGCTTGGACTTTCAATTCTCCTGCTTCAGGCTCTCAACCACTGATTACCATTGGGTTACAAGTGTGAGTCACTACAACCAGATGTAAGAAAACTCCCCAGAGCCTGAGGCCAAGGTGGCACCTAAACCAATTCACAGTCTGCGGTGGAAGAATCAGATTTGTTTAGTTTTAAACCCAGGTGATGCCAGTATTCAGTCTGGCTTGAGAATCTTTGATCTGTAACATCCTACACCTACACACACACATACACACCCCAGCAGCAAAATGAGAGTCCCTGCCTGGGTCTATGCTAAGTCTCATTCATACGGAAGAAGAAAAGTGACTTCAGGAGTGAAATAGTGTACTTGGAACAAGCAGGAGCCCACAGCCTACAGTTGGGGAAAGCATTGTCCAACCTGGTCAATGGCCTCCTTCCATCACTTCACCAGCTGTCCCCAGTCTTAGCTCAGAGAAAATGCCCAGGACCAGCATCTTCCTGCTGCTCTGAGCTTATCACCACCACTGCCTACCTACGGCTCTGTCCTCGATGGACTTGTTCCCAGAGACTGAGGCTCTGAGCCTCAACCGTACCCAGTACAGACAAAGTCTGCTGTAGGAATTGAGCTGAACATACAGCCCAGAAAAATAGTTATGGTGACATTTCCCATCCAGTCTCCCTCTCTTGTGCCAGCCGGCCTCCTAGGTGGTGCTGAACACTGCTAACCTGAGACCAGTCAAGACAATAAACATAGAAGACATTCACAATGGCCACGGCTGCATGGCCCAGTATGGGCTGGGGCCACAGAGCCACTGAGGGGTGAGTGGTCAGGACAAAGCCCCCCTCTCCACAGCTGTTTCCAGGCAAAGACCAAAGATGCATGAGGGAGTTCATAGAGAGCAGGGTTTCTTTGTCCCATGCTTCCAAGACAGTGGGTGGGACAGTAGCTACTCCCTACCAAGAATGGAGTCCCTGGGATCAGCAGCTACACACCCAAAGGCCTTGAATGCAACTTACCAAACCTAGCTGTCTCTTTTAAGAGTGGCTGGTACCAGTAGGCGCCCACAGGGGGCTCTCCAAGGCAACTGATGCCCCTCCACCAACTCCACTTCCTACCAATCAAGAAACAAACAGCCCTTCTCTTCCTCATCCCAAGCCAGTCTAATGTCAAACAGCCTTCTTAGGAACTGATAAGAGGCCACTACATGGTCTGACAGGTCTGTAAGGGGTGACACATTTAAAGGGGGGGTGGGGTGTAACATAGCATATACCAATCTCCCAAAAGTTCAAGTAGGACTGCTGTGCATGAACCTGCATGAATGTACATACACACACACACACACACACACACACACACCTTCTGCCTCACAAGGCTTCCCACCACCTTCCTTCCCTAACAAAGCCTGTTAATTGTTCTTTGTCCTGGGCATCTGGGTTTTGTTTTCTTTTTTTTGTTTGTTTTGTTTTCTTTTTTTGGTTTTTGGAGACAGTTTTGCTGATTAGCCCTGGCTGTCCTGGAACACTTTGTAGACCAGGCTGGCCTGAAACTCACAGAGCTCTACCTGCATCTGCCTCCCGAGTGTTCGGATTAAGGGTGTGTGCCACCACTGCCCAGGTGGCATTTGGTTCTCAACTTCCCACGATATAAGAGGGCTGAACACAACAGGGCCCAACACACTCACAAGCCTTGGATGCTACCAGGAGGCAGGCTGTCGGCAATCAGGGAAAGCCTCCCACAAGGATGCTTCCCGGCCCTGCCCCAGGCTGGTGAGGAGGACACTCAGCTATTTTGAATCTGCTGGAATTAAACTGCTGCCTGCTTATTTTTAGCAGGTCCATTTGCCCAGGAATAGATGCTTGCTGGCCTGCGGCCAAGCAGTCACACAGCTCAAGGCAGGCACGTGCTACAGCCAGCAGGCCTTTGCATGTATCTGCTCACTCCAGGCTCTAAAAGGATCCCTTCTCTTTGCAGAAGTACCTGTGGCTTCTCAGAACAGTCTTTGGAAAGGAAGTAATGGCCTCACTCCCAAACCAGCCAACAAAACTGTAACCGCAGTCTAGAGCCTTCTAAACAAGACAATCCCTGGGAATGGCACAGAATGGTGTTGGCCCTAGTGACTAAGTCAGTTTGGCTGCAGTAACTGGGAAAGGGGGCTGCATGTGACTGACAGGAAAGTCAATCATAAAAACAACAGCGTAGGAGCCAAGAGGCCAAGTCCAGTCTGGGCGTGGCCCTGGTGGGTGGATCCACACCACTTTGTGTTCTGGACAGTGATGTCCACCAGGAAAGTGTGCGCCCTGGCTGCTCCATCTCCAGAACACAGCACAGCACAGCAAGTCTCCTTGAAGGGGCCTGGCTGGCCCAGCAGGCTCTCCTGTATTCCCCATATGGAGAGCAGCAACAGGCTGCTGGCTCTCCCAAGGAAGTTCCCTGGGGTAGGCGCTGAGAGAAGGAAGAACATGCACTCTTTCCAGGGGTTCCCTGCCTGACTGCAACAGCAAGAACCTCTCGTTTCCATCAGCACCGTTTTCTCAACTCTAGAGTCAGTTGCTCCCTCGCTTACTCACACATTCAGATCTGGGCATGATGTTAACAAGGAGCAGTTTCTGCCAGAAGCTCAGGTAGAAGTCTAGCCCAGACTCAAGGACACACCACAAAAGCTTTTTTGAAGCCCAGGAATAGGGTTTGGTTCCCAGGACACATAAGGAAGTATATAACCATCTGTTCCAGGGTTGCCGACTTTCTCTTCTGGCATCCCTAGGCACCAGGTACACATGCAATCTTCACACATGTATGCAGACAAAACACTCGTCCACATAAAATAAGTAAATTCTCTTTTTAAGGCCAGGATTTCTATAGGTTGCAATAGATACGGGGAGAGATGGCATTACATAGTTCTGATGCCTTTATGAGTAGGACAGAGGAGCAAAGTCCCTGGGCAGAGCCTGAAGATGTCCTAGCCACTGACCTAAAGAGCTGGTGAGGGGAGCTGGCAAAGTAAGTTGTGACCTTTATAGTCAAATCAGTGGCAGCCTGGTCAAAGTGGGCAGAGCACCAGAGGTAACGGCTGGGGCAATCCCCATGTGGTGATGACTGTCCAACACTGGCAGCCTGCCACCTAGCCACAGGTTACTGAGGGAAATCTGACAAAATGTGACTGAACAACTCAATTTCTCATCTTATGTACAGTTAATTTAAATATCCACGTGCTGGTGGCCGCAGCCCAGAGGCCAGCACAATACCAGAGGGTCTTCCCAGAAAACTCCAGCACATGAGAGGTCGGGACCAAAGTCGTGAGGCCAGCACCTACCTTGCTGGCAGAGTGCACTTTTGCCACTGAGGCAAGGGAGGTGATGGTGAACCGGGGTCACTCTCCCACAGCAGCATGGCTGGGGCCCAGGATCACAGTGATGGAGCCATGCCTCAGGTGTGCCGGTCTTAGCCCAGCGCCGGTGTTCCCTTCATCTCTGGGGGGCTGAGCAAGCTGTGACTCATGACAGCACCCTCAAGATTCCACGTTAGCTCATAATGGCTAGCTGGCCTACCCAGGGTTAGCCCTACACCCTCCATTGTGACAGCCTTGCAGGACAGCAGGCAGGCAGGCGGCAGGCAGGCGCACCCTAGGGTAGCTGTAACTCCGTGGGTAGGTAGGCCAGCTATCAGGACTTCAAGGAACACTTTCTCATCCTGTTTCACATTGGACAGAAGCTTAACATAACATCTAAGAGGAAGACCTGCTTGGTGAAACTTCTCTGGTCAAAAAGGAAAACTAGAATCAAGAGGCCCAGGTAAGAAGAACTGGAAGCAAACCTCCTATTCTAGACACGGTGTCTTCCTTGCCAGCCCAGCCAGTAGCTAACTAACTTCCAGCTCAGAGGATTTGGTAACAGGGCTAGAGAGATGGCTCAGCTGTTGAGAATACTGGCTGTTCCTGCAGAGGTCCTAGGTTCAATGCCCAATACCTACACACAGTGGCTCAAAACCCCTGCGGCTCTTCTGCCTCCTGAAGGCACTGTATGAACATGATGCATATTCACAGATGCAAGCTAAGCACCCACACACAGAAAATAAAAATCAAGGCTACAGAAAGAAAACTGGGTAACAGATCCCACAAGAATAGCGTCTAACCCTCTCCTCTCTTAGGTCCAGCCTCAGTCCTCTCCAGGGATCGGAAATCAGTCAGGCTCTCCCCAGTTACTTCACCTGGGGTAGGAGTGTGCTTTTGAAAACTGTAAAGACTGTCCAGTTCACCCTGGCTCTTGTCTTAGGTTCTTTATTATTACTTGGCATTACGAGTGAATTCTGTCAGGCTCTGGGGGGCTACGGCAAAGCAGATGCAGGAATGTATTCGTAGGTAGGAGGAGTTTCCACCTCACCACAGACGTCACCACATGGGCCAGCCCTGGAGGTATGAGCAGTGATGTGATGACAAGCATAGTTAAGAGGTCATAATCCCAGAACTAATCCCAGAGGCTGAAACAGAAGGATCATTTATTAGAGACCCTGTCTCAAGACCAAGGAGATAAAAACCAGAAGGTGGTGTATTGCCTTCACAAGAGACAAGAAAAAGATGTTAGCTGGGAGTTGGTGGCACACGCCTTTAATCCCAGCACTCTTAGAGGCAAAAGCAGGCGGATCTCTGTGAGTTCGAGGCCAGCCTGGTCTACAGAGTGAGTTCCAGGACAGCCTCCAAAACAATAGAGAAACCCTGTCTTGAAAAACCAAAAAAAAAAAAAAAAAAAGATGTTGATATCTGGCCAACAACTGATGCAAGGCCAGCAACCAAGAAATCACAAGGGCTTAAGAGGAAATTTTTATTCAATACTATTGGCAACGCCAAGTACCAGGCAGTGTGGGGACAGAAATGAATAAGAAACTAAACTTCCTACAGCTTTTTGGAGTTCAAAAACCATGACCTCTGCCCACTCTGCCACTGACTCGTCCAAAAGACAGGAAAAGTGTCTGGTGGTCGGAGGAACAAGAAGAAAACAGAGTGCCATTTTCCTCGGGTGGGATGTTCTAGTGTCCTTGTGTGGAGATGAGGGGACTGTTGGGTTGCACTCAATAGCCACTTTCACTGCCATCTGAGTACTCAAATCCAGATCGCCTCTCCTTCACAACTCCCAAAGGCAAAGCCTTCTGCTAGCTTGGGGGAAGGGACTGCCTGGCTTAGTTGTCCTTGCCGAGCAGTCTGTATTCAGTCACATCCTCACAATGCGCACCTTCGAAGGTGCCTGCTCTCCTGTACACATCAGCATCCTTCTTGCTAGCCATCTACCTATGCACACACACTTTCTCAGCAAGAACTAGAGGATGTGTTCCACCAAGACATGGGAGTAAATCCAGGAAGAAGCCGGGCGTTGGTGGCGCACGCCTTTAACCCCAGCACTCGGGAGGCAGAGCCAGGCGGATCTCTGTGAGTTTGAGGCCAGCCTGGTCTACAAGAGCTAGTTCCAGGACAGCCTCCAAAGCCACAGAGAAACCCTGTCTCGAAAAACCAAAAAAAAAAAAAAAAAAAAATCCAGGAAGAAACACGACAGAGAATTCCCAGGAGGAAGAGGAGACAGAACCAACAGAGAGGGATATATCCCCAGAGCAACACACTCTTAGGAGGACCTGATATACTTAATCACAAAAGCCTTCCCCCAATGGCATAAAGCCTGCCACAATGGCAGAGGCTCAGGAGAAGCAGGGAGCAGGTAAAGACACAGAAAAGTATAGAAAGCAAGTAAGGCGAGGCATGGTGGTGTGTACGTATGATCCCAGTACTTGGGGAGGGGTTGGGGGCTGAGGCAGGAGGATGGTGAATACCAGGCAAGCCTGAGCTACACAGTGAAGGGGGGGCTATGAGAAACCAAGAACTTGGTGGCTAAAGATAATGTTTATGAATAGCAACTATCAAATTATGCTACTGCTCTACTGAGAAAATGAGAAAGAAGGTAGGTGTAGGGATGAACACTCTTTCACAGTAGAAAACTAGACAGTAGTATTTAAAGAAAAGAGAGGGAGGCAGGCAGGCAGGCAGGCAGGCAGGCAGACTAGAAACAGGTAAAAGCCACAGGACAGCTAGAAAAGCTAGAGTGATGGCTCCAGCAGTTAAGAGCATGCACTGCTCTACAGAGGACCTGAGTTCAGGTCCCAGCACCCACACTAAGTGGCTCACAACCACCTCGAGTCCAGCTCCAGGGAACACCATCTCTCTGGCCTCCTTGGACACAATTAAAAATACATAGGAAAAAAAAAAAAGGAGAAAAGGCTCAAGGTAACTTTCAAAATCCTCTCATGTGACAATGATTTTTATCTGGAGATACCCGAAGTCTGTCTGGTGCATTGTGGGAAAGCCCTGTACCAGTGAGTTACAGGCCCGGCAAGGGACTGTCCTTTCAAACTGTGTACATAATCAGAAAGTCAGTGTGGCCTGCCAAGGCATTGGGTTCAATCCCCAGAACAATAATAAACAAATATCTCTCCTTCCATAAGCAATGTTGTGACAGACTTCACTGCTGATCTAGAGTCTTGGTTTGGGTTTTTGAGGCAGGTTCTCACTGTGTTGCTCATGCTGACTTTTTAAAACCATAACCTTCCTTCCTGCCCAGCCTCCATGCACTGGGACAACATGCATATGCCACCATGACCAGCTAACACTTCATGCTTAAACTAGATACAAGTGGCAGCGGATGCTGTGACCACACAGTATGTCTTGCTTGTTAACCAAGACAAATATGCAGTAGTGTCAACTCACGTACAAACTTGTAATGTTCTCCTTTCTCATAACTGATGGCATTTTTTCTTGAGATATCCCTAAACTAACACAGAAGTTAAAATCAAGAAGAGACGATGCTTACTGACAGAGCTTTTGGGAATCATGGCAATAGTCTCCCCACCCTTAGCATAGCAAGACCCATCATTTAATAAAGGTGATAACCACTGTGAGCTAGCTCCATGGAAGCTGGGGAGAGTTGTCTCAGGCAGCAAAGGTGGAAGGGATGCAGACTCAACTTTCAGATACTAAGACAGTACAATGAAGAACCAGATGCAATATGCCTGTAGTCTCCGAACTGGTTGAGAGCACAGAGCCCTGAGGCACCTCTGGCACATTCCCCATGCATGTAAAAGTAATGGGAAGGCTAAGAAATGCTTCCTTGTCTTTTCTGGGCCCTGCAGTTAAGATGAGAAAGGCTAGGGAGTCTATGGAATGGGAAGATCTATGCAGAAGGGTGAGAGAATGCCTCTTGGAAGCAGGGCCATCAGAGCGTCAGGGCTGAAATGGTGGGAGCCATGCCAGGATGAAGGTGGTTCGGAGAGGGAGAGAAAGCCCCAGGCAGAGAAAGTCCTCAGGCAGGAACAGGCTTGACTAGCTCAAGGGACAGCAAGGAGAGGCCAAGAGAGGGTCAGAGGAATGGCTGGCTCCACACCCCCCACAGAAGCTAAACTTAAGGAATCATGGGACTCACAGGAACATGCAGGAACATACTTCCAGAGAGGCAACTGCCCCCGAGAGTGCTTTGTTCTAAACCCATAAACTGCCCCCAGAAATACAACAGGTATGTTCTCTGGGTAAACCGGCTTGTTTTTACCAAAAATCCCAGCAAACGTGCTTGGTAGGAAGTCCTGCAGCCACTTACACATTAGCCATGGCTGGACCAGTGCCCTAGCACTACCTCCCAAGTGAGTCCAGCCCCTAGAGATAGATGCACCCACATATAGTACATACACACGCGCACACATGCACACTCGCGCCTGCGCGCGCACGCACACACACACACACACACACACACACACACACACACACACACCCTCACATAAGTTCCCACTAGTCCTTGAGTCAGGCCTTGCAACAACCTTGCTCTCCAGCCAACATAAACCATAGGCCACAGAGGGCCTTATATGGCTTGAAGCTTTCTTAATCAGAAACAGATAGATGGGCTGGAGTTGGCAGCTGAGCTAGAGGGAAGGAGGAAGGGGGAGAGCGGAAAGAAAAGTATGAGGAACATGGCAAACTTGTCAAACTCCTTTTTCATCCCTCTTCCGCCTCAGTGGCTTCCTCCCAGCAAAAAAATTCCTACTAGGGGTAGGGGGCGTTGGCTGCTCATGTGCCTCAGAGGTAGAGACCAGCATAGGAAAGTTCCTGGGTTTTACATACACCGCCACCTCCCGTGTTTGTATCTTGATGAAAGCCAGAAGACACCAGTAATTGGATTGCCAGTCAACAAGTAGTTTCAGACTTTTTATGCTATTTAGTGGCCAGCCCTCAGGTGTGAGCAACTTCACCTAAAGGCAGGGATGGGTGGGAAATGGGGGTTAAAAGTTTTTCCAGGAAATTCGCTACTGGGGTGTCAAGGGGGCTCATTTCCTGAGATAGTACCTGACCCATCTCCTGGCTCACTGTCGGCCTCAATCACATGCCTGTCTGGTCCTGCCCCCAAACCCAGAATAGAAAAGACCTCAGAGACTTCTTAATGGGCCAGTGCTCAGAGGCTACAGCAGTTTCTAAGGGTGGCTTTAGTCTCCTCCCCATAGGAGCTGTCCCAGACACTTACAGCCACATGCACTTGACTCTCCTGAAGGATGGCACCTGCTAAAAATAACCACAAGCTTGGTGGCATGGGTCACACCAAAGCCAAAGGACAAAGCTGGGAGGTTATTCTCAAGAGCTGGTCTCTCTCCAGGGCAGCCGGACAAGTCAGAAATCACTCGTGCTCCGCCTCTGCTGGAGTGACAGGGAAGAGATGAACAGCAGACCTCCAAACAGGGCGCCATCTCTCAACCTCACAAAGGCACAGCCAGGCCAAGGCTGGAGAGAAGGGGCTGGGGGCTGCCCTGGATGATCTTGCTGTCTCCTCCTCTCCTGGGTAACAACCCACGGAGGGCCAGGGGATGGTCTCATGACCTCCACATGAGGTCTGACAGGCAATGTTATTATTAGCCAGGGAATGAGTGACTTCAAGGTTGTCTTGCAACCTGCTCAGTTTCCCAGACCCTGGGGCTTTCTTATTCAGTAATTACTCATGTATTTCAAAGGTGCATTTCCCTAATAATGACAGGGCTTTGTAAAGAGTTAAAGGAATAAGATCTGAACTTCAGTTCCCTGTGAAATGGGACCTGAATAGCTTCATGGGATTGTAATGAGGCTTAACTGACTCAAAATAAATACTTAACAGGCTCAGTCTGTGGGATAAACTTTCCATTCTTGAAAACTCCAGTTTCACATTGTGGATGAAGAGGTGGTGTTAATGGAGCAATAAATACAGTCTCAAGGACAGACAGGTATGGGGAAGTAAAAATACATCAACTCTGATCCAAAGCCAGCCCAAAACTGACAGTGTCCTGGGGGGTCACTTACCTACCCTCTTTGGGGGATCTCAGTTTCAAACTAGAGATATTTAACCTCAGAGATGAAAGATAAAAACATCATGGTTTAAAAAAAAGAAAAGAAAAAAGTCGCCTAAGTAGTAATGGTATGTACCCGTAGTCCTAGCTATGTGGAAAGCTGAGGGGTGAATTCCTTGAGCCCAGAGCCTGGAACCAGCTATGACAACATAGTAAGACCCTATTTCAATAAATCAATAAATTAATATAGAGCATTCTAATAGGTGCTCATCAAATGCAGGCTGCACTTTGTATCGTTAAGTTCAAGGCCACTTCAGAAGGGTCCAAACACAGCAGACCCAGTACCTGATTCTTTCAAATTTCTTCCCAGATCAAAACATTCCATCCTGCAGGGGAGCCACTTAATTAAACAAAGATGCAAACTGCTAAAAATTAGCTTCAAGAACTCCCTGAAGCTGAACAGACTCACCAGGCTCCTCCCTGACAGCAAATTATAAAAGCTGAGAGTCCCTCTCAGAGGGACAAGGAAGACTGAGAAGAGCAGCAGAGAAGGCTCTGAGACCAGACGAGGAAGCAGAAAGCACCAGAGCTGCACGCAAGAGCTTCAGACCAGAGTCACTTGGAAAGGACACTCCCAACCTGTGGAGCGCTGTGTAGGGTGCTCCAGGTTTCCAGCTTCTCTGAGCTGTCACACGTGCTGGGCTGGGCCTTGGTGATGAAACTGTCTTTGAGTCGTTTCTGTTCCTGTAAGTTACCCCTCACACTATTCCTATAAGTAACCCCAATAAAACTCACTAGTTCACCAAGCTGGACTTAAGATGGTATGCACACTTTGGTCTGCCCTGTGATCTGCCCTGTGATCCCTATGTGGGGTAAGTAGACATTTGTCCACTCTCCACATCAGCATTTCAGGATCAACACCAAGGTCACTCCTTTCCCACTGTGTAAAAAGACACCTCAACATTAAGATGGGCTGGTAGGAAGTCAGACACAGTAACTCATGTCTGTAATCCCAGCACTTGGGAGGTTCTGACTGGGGCCTATACAGTACATGCCTGAGACACACAGGCAGGCCCTGTGTCAAAAAAGAAGAAAGTATTACACACACAGCATAAAAATTCAAACTGCTTTAACAGAGAGGTTTCACATAGGTCCTTTTGGAAACTATCAGGTCTGGTGGCATAACATTTGGAGGACAAGGAACACAGACAGGTCTTAGAGAACCAATAAGGCCCTTTATAGTAATGAGCAAAGCTCTCAAGTCTGACCAATCCGTTCCATGTTCACATCCACAGACCTCTCACTAAATTCATTTTTCAATCTATTTCCTAAGGAACTACACCCCAAGACCAAAACTTGTTTAACACTCCTTGAAAAACTTTGTCACCAAAGCGGTTGGATTTTTGAACTATTAATACTAAAACCCAAAAATCATGTTTTATAACAGATTTACAGATGAGACAAGTAAGATTTTGGAGCAGGACAAACAATATTGTAGACCTGCACCAACCAAAACTTTTTACAGCGATGAAATGTCCATGACTTGCATGCCCAGCATGGTAACCCAACCACATTGCTCTAGCAGCCCCCAAGCACCTTCCTTAACTCCCAGGGCACAATCCCAATACTTTAGGTATAAGCCTGAGGCTACCAGCACTTGCGCTCTCATGCTCTCATTCTCTCTCTCTCTCTCTCTCATTCTCTCTCTCTCTCTCTCTCTCATTCTCTCTCTCTCATGCTCTCTCTCATGCTCTCTCTCTCTCTCATGCTCTCTCTCATTCTCTCTCTCTCTCTCTCTCTCTCTCTCTCTCTCTCTCTCTCTCTCTCTCTCTCTCTCTCTCTCTCCTCCCTACCTCCAGCCCATAATCAGAACACCTTTTAATGCTTTTCATTCACCAAGTCTCTTTTACCAGCCAACCGGCTGTTGAGAGCTTGAAGAGCTACAGCAAGTCCTGAACTCTGCCAGCTAAGGCCAGCAGCGACAGGCCTCCTCTATCCTGAGCACTGCATGCTTTTCCTCCAGAAGTCTCCTTGTTACCTTGCTTTGCTCCTGATGCAAATGGGCCTCAATGACAAGGTTGAGTGAACCCAAGCGGCCAGTATACAGGACAGGGAACAGAGTGTTTACAGACATGAGCTGCAAGAGCATCCAAATGGCAGAGACATGCACAGAGTGGCAGGCACCATCAGGAGGAGGAAAACAAAGGTAAGGAAGAGGTGAACGGAGATGCACTTGGGAGACTGAGGCAGGAGGATTGTGGTTTTGGCTGGCCTCAGTTTACACAGCATGACCCCTGTTTCAAAAAAAAAAAAAAAAAGAAAGAAAGAAAAAGAACACTTGGGGCTAAAGCTCAATGGTACTGTACTTACCATGCATAAAGCTCCTATATTCAATCCCAAGTACTTGAGAAAGAAGGAGAGACTGGCTACACCAGGAAAGAATAAAAACTTGCCCTATGAAGCAAGATTTAGGACTTAAAACATACCCCACTAAGGAGATTAGCATCTTCCAAACATGAGATGATTTCAGTGGGGCATGGGGCCCACAGAGCCCAAGCACCTCCCTATAATAAAGTTCCTAGGATTATTCGAAGAAACAAATACCAGACACAAACTTCCCTCAAACAGGAAAAGACTGGGCTGCAGAGAGGCCCAGGCATGGCAGACTCACGAGGAAGATTAGGAAGGAGTGGCCTCAGAAAACAGGGCAGCTCTCTAGGCTCTGACGCCTTAAAATGCCAGTTTCATCGAGACATGTTGACCCAGGAGGCTAGGTGGCAAAGCATGGAGAAATCAATTTGTCTTCTCTTTCCTTCGAAGCAAGTTACTAGGTCAGAGGCTAGGGGAGGGAGTGCTTTTATATTTAAATAATCAAAAGATTGAGTCAAACAGAGATTCATTTGGGAGTGAACGATACTATACTTAAGTGTCTGCCATATGCCAGACATAGTCCTAAGTCTCAAATTTATGATCTCCATATTTAGGATGAGAAAGGGAAAATCGGAAGTTAAAACTACCTTCCTCCATAAACTATGGCTATGACCAGCCTCTGGGTCAGGTCCAAGTATAATCTGGCTTACTGGTTAGCAAGACATTGCTTTAAAGTATTGATGCTCAGCAACCTGACACATTGCTCTCAGCATCTGATCAGGGGATGTACAACAGATACCTGTATCTAGGCTGTCGTCCTGCAGGGGCCAAGTGTGAATGCAATTTCTACCAACAGCTGGGAAACGGGAAAGCCACACAGACACAAACCCACTAAACCTAGACCAGGTCTCACCCACTGGGTTGGATAGCCACCTGCACACCTACACCTCAGGCCTACTGAGTTAGCAAAATGAAGCCTTAGTGATTTGCATACCTGTAGGGTACGAGGACCTCCTCTAACCCAAGGCCACTTTCATATTTCACAAGACTACACCCAGGAATTACCTAGAACCTACAAAACAGGTTAGAGGTGAAAAGAAGGTTCAACAACAAGTCCAAAAAAACTCCCCAACCATAACCTCACTTGTTCCTTGGGCTCTGAAAAAGTCCTAAATAATCTGCAGGTGAACCACTTAAATGCCAATAACAGAAGAATTCTATATGAGAACTCCTTCACGGAGTTCTAAATGTTCTGTACCTATAAGAGAGGAATGGGTGAGACTCTTAAGTCTCACCTTCTAAAGTTAAACATTTAAAACAAAACAAAAAACCACACGGTTACTAGTTTGGCAAGGATTTTGCAGTTAAACCAGCATGTAAGGTTAATTTCCTGAAGCAACAGCTTTTGTGAACTGTGTTCCTGGATGACAATTGCAGTACTCGAGTACAGAGGGAGGTGGCAAACCAACAGAGAGATGGTTACATCAGGTCCAGCAGCCCTAATTTCACTGCAGGAGTTAAATTTAAACCCCAAGCAGCCTCAACCTCAGTAGGGGAAAGATCGGCAGTTTAACCTCACTAATTGCCCTACACATACACCCTATCCTACTGGGTTTGAGAAGCCTCCATTCGCACCTGGAGCGAAGTCCACCGGGTTTGTGTTAATCACAGCCCAAGGATAGAAAGGTACCGAACGCCGGAGGCTTTTCCCGGAAAAGAAAGGTCCCGTTATATACAGGGCTTCCCAGAGGTCTCTTCTGCATAGCCCAATACCATCAGCACCTTCCCTCCCGCGGAAAGGAAACAGGAAAAGCCATAACCTAGGACACAGGGGTAGTTGACACCGGAATGTCGGCCTCTTACGCGTCCAGGGGGTCTCCCCAAGCACATTTTATCTATGACCCCTGCAAAGTGCCTCCGTGACCCCTGCAAAGTCCCTCCAGATCACCGACCTGGGGCGGGAAGGAAGGCGGAGCATAACACGTGACACTGGACTCCACACAGGCCAGGAGTCAGCGGGCACCTCTCGAGACACGCTATGGGGCCCCAAATACTAATCCCCTTGAAGATACCCAAGACCTCGACCTCCCGATCCTAACTCGGCTCTTATGGTCCCTCCAACGCCAATAGGCTAGGGACTTGTCTCGCATCCCATCCTCCCCGCAGCGACGGCAGAGCCCGCTCCAATAGTCCGCAGCACTGAACTCCAGGAACCTTGCCTACCTGCTCGGGTTTGCCACCACCGCCGGGACAACCCACAACGAATCAACCGGACCCAGAAGTTAGACGAGGCTCTGAAAGTGACCAATTCCAACTCCGATCCCTCAGGCAGGAAAGAGATCGGTCCCCAAGGACCTCTTCTCCTGCTTTGGGCACTGGGTCCTGGACAGAGACCGCCCCGCTGCCTCCTCTCCACGCTCAAACTGGGTACACACGACCTTTGAAAAGTAAACCCGAGAGAGGCTGGGCGACCTTGGGTGGGACGCGCTCGGTTTCGCTACCCAGAAGGGTGAGCCAGCACCGGGAAAGTTGAGGCGCACCGGGGCGCCGGGGGAATTGCTCCCTCATCTCCATCCTAGAGGCCAGTGACGTGGGGGGATGGGAGGGGGAAGCAGTGGCTCAGAGCGGCGCCCCAAGCTAAGCGCACGCTATCTGTCAGCACCAGCTCGACGGGGAAAGAGGACCAGGGGGCGCGCGGGTCACTGAGTCTCAGACCCGCCCGATTCACAGCGGGCGCCGTGCACACACCGCTCCGTCCCCGGAGCACCTGGCACGGGTGTCGCACCCTGCACCTGCACCCCAGGCTCCCCATCACCCCAACTCGCTCTCCCTCCGGGCCCGGCAGGCGGGTGCCCGCGCCAGCCGCTACTTACCTGCTCCCGGGCGACCGTCTTGGTACACAGTCCTCCCGCCACCGCCCCCTGGCCCCCACCTAGCCCAGCGGCCCTGCCCTGCAGCGCTGCGCCGCGCTCCGGCCGCTCCCCCACGTGCTAGCCCAGGCCGGGCGAACACAGAGACATTAAATACTGAGGACGCGCAACGACGTGCCCGCGGCGCGACGCAAAGTCCCGCCCCTCGCCCTCGGGCCCCCACCTCCTCCCCCTCGCCCGCTCACCCTCTTGCGCGTGCGCCACACTGGCAGCGTCCTCCCCGATTTGCGCGCGCCTCTTTCCCAGCTGCGCCAAGAGGGGCGCGGTCTGGAGCGCTCCGCTGACATCCCGGCGCCGTTCGGGCCCGCCCTGCCGATGCTCTCGCGAGAGGAGTTGTAGTCAAGGGGGGGTGGGGGGCGTAGGGGGATGGCTAGGCGTCCCGCGCTCCGGCCGGGGTGGATTCTTGTGTCTTCGTGCCGGGCACAGTGAACTTGGCGCGCGTGGGGGCTCTGCTTCTTCCCATGTTCCTGCTTTCGGATGGTGTGTCCCTTGGAAAAGG